TATATATATATATATATAAAATTTTATTTATAGTTTTTTTAATGTCAATTAATTGACATCAACTTGCTCCAAAATTCAATTATTTTTATTGCTTGTATTTAAAACATTAAAAAATTCATTATTTTTATTATATTTATCTGTTTCTTTACATTTATCAAATTTTTATTATTGTTTATGTCATTCTTTCTTTAAAGATCATAAAACTTCAGAACAAATTTAGGTTTAACATCGAAGCAATTAATTTAAAACCTTGTTAGGAGAATTGTAACACAATTTAAATCAAAAATTAATTAAAGATGTGTGAGGAGATCGGGCAGAAATTAAGATGAGAAGAAGAAGAAGCAGACTCACACGGGTGACAACAATCGGCGTGCCCAGATCTGCGCCTCCGGCAATCCTTATGCCCCATGGCCTACCGGTGCTGGATCTCTTAAGTTTCACAATCAATGTGTGCCTTCTCGTCATATTCTAGACTCGGTTCAGCCAACACCACCACCAACAATAACACAACAAATAGCCACGACACAAGCACTTAATCAATAGCAAAATGCACTATGTAGGCAAAACGACGAGAGAGAGGCAAAAAGAGATAAAAAGGGGAGTAAGTTCCAAGAAGAAAAAACAGCCAAAGACTTTCTCAAAAGAAGAAAAGACCTCCCGCGAACAGTCGCGAGCGATGAATCTCCCGGATCGTGATCGCTCTCTGCTTCGCTACTGAGATAGCAGCTGCAGCTGTAGCACTTGCCGACTATATGCCGACTTTGACAGAGCCCTGAGCGGAAAGCGAGAAAGATAGAGAGAAGGAGGGAAAGAGAGAACTTTAGTTGCTCAATTCTAACGGAGAGACCACCGCCTCTAGTCTCTCTGTTTCTTTCTTTGCTATTCTGGCCCCATTTCGAGTTGGCGTATTGTTCTGATGGTCCGACCCGCACTCGTTTCTTTGGTATTTATTATATGTGTATGCGTGTGTACGTGCATAAATGTTTTACAGTCTCGCTTGAAAAAGAAAATCAAACTATCAGCGAAAAATGAATATGGACTACTGCGAGAAATCCTTGAAGATGATAGATATACTATAAAGGCGAGAAAATTCTACAAAAGAAAATTTATCTTTTGTTATTTGAATTTTTACGTAATTTTAAACGAACTAGTTGATTAAAGAAAAAAAAATCTTAAATAACTACACAATTATACTTCAGCAACAGAATGCGCGGTTGGAAAAGAATGGGCGCATTCAGCGGATTCAACAGTTGAGCACTCACTATTATTGGTATATTCTGTTAGATCATCCCATCAGATCTAAAAGAATACATCAACAGTAGCAAACGCTCACTCAACTGTTGGGTCTGCTGAACGCAACCGTTATTTCTAATAACCATTACTTCTTAATATCGCTTTTTATAATAATTAAAACAATAATGATTTCTTCTGATGGCTCTTTTAAATCAGTACTTAAAACAATTGCTTTCGATTAATTCAACATGGCAACTCAATCTAATAAAAATGTGTCAAGTGGCAAAATTAACAGGCAGCAAAATAAATTAAAATTTAAATCGAAGATCCCTACATAAGTCTAAAATGTAATACCATTGAAATCTAATAATTCTGGACATCATCTCTCCAAAAAACTTCTTCAGTATTAAGGAGATATATAGGATTAAATGTAACTTTAATTCTGTAACATTATGCAAAACTATTTATTATAATAATTTACAGAAATTATTAGTGGCATACAATGTAAAATGCCATAATGTAGAGTAAGATTTTATACGAATTTTATGTATGATATACGATAAACGTGACGAATATTGAGGAAGGATTGAAATGGACAAGACAAAAATATCGAAAAAATTTCTGTAATAACTTTCATGCATATAACGCAACTTTATTGACTCAGTTCGAAATGTGTTCGACACATGTTTCATAAGCGAACTATTATAAGTGGGACAGTCTTATTATATACAGCTTAATATCCACGATGAAAGCTGACAAATGAAATGCATTTTGTCATGCTACATATCTACACGACAGCTTCTTTATTCGCAAATTCGACGTCAAATTTCGTCAGAAAAGATTCATTTGTTAATTTATTTCATACAAGAAGTTACAATTCACTGTTTGTAATTAACAGAAAACTAGATATTCGGATATTTTATTCATATTTTCAAAATTGTCGCTTTATTTCTATTATCAAATATTTGTTGCTATTTTAAACTATTTATTTGATCGATAAATTATATTTGCTTTAATCTAACTTCAGTTAATGATTGTCATATTTTCCGCAAGACAAAGAACGACTCTTTTTCGTAAGGCGGAAATATGAAAAGTAAAAATTTTCTTTGCAAGTAATAGAGAAATTTTTCACTTCTCACATTTTCGTTCTAGAAAAAGGGAATCATTACATGATTGCTATCTAGATTTCTTTAAATTCTACCATCAGAAATCGATAATTTCGGTAGTCAGATGATTGGAATATAAATTGGACTATAAATTGCAATATATAATTAAGAAGAAAATCGAAAGGATTTTTTCCGGGTTGCGTACTCTTCGTACTTACATAGGTTTCGTAAAAGTGGCCTATGGAGAATTTGAGAGCCATCTTTAAAAAATTTGATTTTAATCGCGTTTTCCCCCGTCTAGACAAGACACTCACACTCTTCTTCCGCTGTGCGAATACGTTCACGGACGACGAGAAACTTCTCCCCTATGCGAGCCGTTTCGATGCAATTAGTTTGGCTGCACTGTAATTAACGAAGACTAGAGAACCAGAGGCGAGAGAGAAAGAAAGAGAGTAAAATAATGAGACAGAGGGAGAAAGAACGCGTGTTTGTACGACTTAAATTAGCAACCTATAGCGCGAAAGGTTAGTCAATCGCTCTAGTGACTCACTTTACCTTAATTTATAGAATCATTAACGCATATCGCCAATATGCGATATGTCCAACATTGGCAGTCGACAATAATGAATCATCATTTAATTATGTGTATTGCAGATAAACTTAAAAAAAAAAAGAGAAAAAAAGATTTAATCGTCAGAATTAAGTTTAGTACATCTGCGATTTCAGAAATCATATCAACATTTTTTATTATGTAAAATATAATTCTAATAAATCTAATAATTCTCCTCTTGCCTACTCTTCTGCTAAATACGATAAAGATTTAAAATCTTACAAAAATAACAAACCATATTCTATAAAAAAAAATATAAAAATTATAAGAAATATATATATCAGTAAAACATGTATAAATGAGTATATATAATATAAACGAATAGTTGCATGAATAATTCATCATCAACCATTGAAATGCAGCAGTTATAATACAATGTTATAATAGTTTTTTAACTGCGAATCATTAATTTAAATTTATAAATTTATATGTTATGTTACGCATTGTCGCATTGATCGTAGATAGAGAGGTTTTGTTGAAGTATCTAAAAATTTAGCTAGATTACATCTAAAAATAATTTTGTCAAAATTGCATAGGACGTTCAAACTGTTGTTTATAAATATCAAAATTTTTGCAGTATTGCTTATCAATTACCATGCTTCCTATGTAAATATGTTAATGGTCTAACAAAATTTATCTTATATAAAGGGAGTTTATATAAAGAGAATCCTTCAGAGGAGTAGCTCAGTATCAGTGCGCTCCTCACCTTGATGAAGTAAACGGCAAGATTCACGAAACATTGGCATTAGCAATCACGACATGGCAATATCTCTTTGATATCTCTGAAGAAAACACCCGTGAAAACACACGCCTCAAAAGTATCTAACAAAATTATTTTCAGATTTGTATCTAAATTTTTAGATACTTCAATAGAATCATTCAGTCTTCTCATACAGTCATCAAATCAGGACTACGGCTTATTTCAGATATTCCTCGGTAATCGCTCGGCTGATGACTATACGTCGTACTTCATTGGTGCCCGCGCCGATCTCATAGAGCTTCGCGTCTCGCAGCAGTCTCCCCGTCACATAATCATTGATATAGCCATTGCCACCTGTAAAAAAATTTTTTTAAAACGCGACTGTCATTCTTATTAAACATTGCTAAATATCTACTTTCTCTACTAAGTTCTTATATCATTTACGTTTTCTTCTATAATTATGATTATTATTATCTGAAATAATTTATTACTGTTAATTTTTATTTTAATAGATTTACCGAGTATCTGTATAGCATCCGATGCCGCTTTCATTGCATTCTCCGCGGAAAAGAGTAACACCGCGGCGCAATTTTTGCGATTTACATGATCGACGTCGCAAGACCTAGCGACAGAGTACAAGTAGCTTCTACTCGCACTCAGAGTTGTGTACATGTCCGCTATCTTCGCCTAAAACAATATAATTAGACCATATCAATATAAGATCAAAAAATTTTTAAGAGGACAAGGTAATTCTTGTTTTACCTGTATCATCTGAAATTTCGCAAGATACTGGCCAAATTGCTGTCTTGTATGAGCATATTCAAAGGCAACATCGCAACAAGCTTGCTGTATTCTAGAATTTACGTTTCAAATTGCACACAGTCAAATATAAACGCTCGTTTGTGAATAAAGCTTAAATAATTTCTTATTAATAATCTGAAGAATATATATTTAATATTAAAGTGTCTAAATCTCATTCTATAATACACACCGAAAAAAATTTGTATTTAACACGCTATTTATTATACAAGCAAACTTTCAAAAAGTATAATTTTAATTTCATTGATCACAAAAAGTGCATCCAATAGGTTTTATAAAGCTCCTTTTAACGCGCAAAATCCAAATACAAAAATACTAAACGTTAATAATCAAGCTAAATTTTGTGTTATATATTCATTGTTTTTCTAAGAACTTACCCCAAAGGTCCGCCAGATAATATTAATCGTTCCAGATCCAGTCCACTAAAGAGCACATAAATACCTTTATTAATTTGTCCTAAAACATTTGCAGCTGTAACAGAAATTCACAATTTTGCACAATTTCACAATTTTTAAGAACCTTTTGGAAGACAAAAGGATAATGATCAATTTTAATGAGTCAATAAACTTAATAAAATGTTGAAAATATCTTACAGTTCTTACTCTATTCTATTTGAACAAATTAATTTTATTGTAACAAATCTCTATATCTTTTCTGCGTTTCTTATTCGAGCGCTGGACTTACCTGGCACTTTGCAATCCTCGAAAATCAGTTCACCCGTGTTGGAGCCGCGCATTCCAAGCTTGTCCAGCTTCTTCCCCCTGCTGAAACCCTCTGTGTCACGTTCGACGATGAAAGCAGTGATGCCATGCTGCGGCTTGTCCACATTCGGATCCGTTCTCGCGTAGACGATTAGTGTATCCGCGTCCGGACCATTGGTGATCCAGAACTTGTTGCCATTAAGGACATAGTAGTCCCCCTTTTTCTCGGCCCGCAATTTCATGGAGACAACGTCGGACCCGGTACCCGACTCTGACATCGCCAACGCCCCAATATGTTCACCACTGCACAGCTATAGAATTTCTCATATAACAAGAATATCTTATTTATATTATCAATGATCGCGCGAGTGATATGAGTTAATCCTATCGATGAAAATATCAAAGGCGCTTTGTTAATTTCCATGAAAAAGCTATTTATAATTTCAAATTTGTATAACTCAATTGGAAATACCCAATCTATTTTTTTACAACTGTAATTTATTCCAAGATATATTTATTCACTGAAATATTACACATGTATTTTTTTCACATAAAACTTTTTAAGAACATTAAGTCGCGTATGTCGAAACGAATTAAAAAATCCTTTATGATTTATATGTACCATTGTAGATCTATACTATTTACTTTAACATTCGAAATTACAATTTATTCGAAACTAATTTGTATGTATATTATATATATATATATACACATTTTCTTCTGATATAAGATTCTCTAAAAATATGTACATTGTTTGGCGTGAGTTACCTTAGGTAAATATTTTTGCTTTTGTTCTTCCGTGCCATTTCGATGAATTTGATTAACACAGAGATTCGAATGTGCGCCGTAACTGAGCGCGATAGCGGCAGATGCTCTGCTAATTTCTTCCATGATAATTACATGATCGAGATATGTGCAGCCTGCGCCTCCATATTCTGGCTTCACCGTCGGACCTAACAGGCCCAGTTTACCCAATTTTTTCCAAAACGTCTGCACAATCACATTATTTTTTTTTAATTGAATCGTTGATTAGGATATCAAGGAAGATATAATTTAATTAATTCATTATGGTTTGCTATTTATTTATATATTTCTTTTCCTTAAAATCGGTGTATAAAAGGAGCACTTACCCTCAATTCATCGAAATTATTTTTCTTGTCGATTTCAGCAGCTTTAGGCGCTAACTCCTTTTGCGCAAAATTGAAAACGAGCGAACGAAGCTAAAAAAGGATGGTGATTGTTACAGATATGACTACAGACATAATAGAACACTCTGTAAAATTTTTATTGAATTCCTAATATTTTGAAAATAAATATTAAATATCGATTCTTAACTAAAAAAAAATGAATTAAATACATTAAAATTAATAATATGGCCATTTTATTATCCTACGCGTGTTAAAATTTAATGTTTTTACAACGTAACTAGTTGAAGAAAAACTAATTTATTTCAAATTAACAAAAATAAGTAAAAAGTTATTAACTTTCTAATTGTATTACTAACTTTTAACTAATTAATTAATTATGTACTACCCAATCTTATAATACCGGAGAAAAAATGTTATTATTAACATATTTTATATATAATTTTATATAATTATATATACTTATATATAAAACATTTTTTTCCAAGTATCTATACGTAAATAAATAGTTATAAAATACAACTGCGTATAAACTGCAGCGCAAAAAATAACTTATACAAATATTTATACCTACATATTCATTGTGCAAATTTGTTTTAACTGAATTTTCGTCACGATTGCACAGTAATGCACGGTGCGCGATGACAGTCGCGGATGCACTCGATGCATATTTGTTTAAATTAAGCCTGTTCTTTTTAGCTGAACTTTTGTACCAGTTCATCTTTCTTCCTTTTCTGTCCAGGAAGAAAAAAGAGGAAGAAAGATAAACTGATGCAAAAGTTCAGCTGAAAAGAACAAGACTAATATTGCAGAATAAGTTGAGCAAACGTCGTGCGTCGAATATCTGCGCAAAAGATTGTTGCGCAGAAGTTTGAATCTCCATTCCTGCGCAATAACTTTCTGCACAGCTTCTTGGCGCAAAATGGCAGGGTTGGTAAAAAAACGTGTTTTAAATAGTTTAAAATGCTTAATTGATGTTTTTAATATGTTTTAAATATGTTTTTTTATAGCACTGTTTAAAACACAATACGTTTTATTCTTAGAAAAAAAAAAACATATAATCTTTACCAACCCTGCAAAATGATAAATTATGAAAGATTATGTTCTGATATACACTATTATCCTAACATACAATGCTATATAGTATAAACTACAAGATTCCACTATTATAGTGTATCTCATACATTAAATTCAATTTTAATACAATTATTAAACATATATTACTGCGCATGCTCTGACGCTTGACGCTGCCACGTAAAAGCATCTTACATAAGAAGTAAAAGCAAGAAATCGATCAATCGCAGTCAAATGTAAAAAAAATAATTGACCGTGATCGGTCAATTTTTTATTCTTACTTCATAGAACTTCACCAGCGTACAGTGCTGATCAAACATTAGAATAAGGAATAGATATTAATCAGGAATAAATATTAAGTATTTCAATCTATTGAAATCTTTTGAAAGTTGAAATTTTAATATTCCTATTCCTAGGCTACGTTCCATAATTTCCTCTCCGAGGAAGATTTTACTTTCTATATGCTATAGTATACGTTACATGTACTATTACATATTTTGAATAAAATTTTCCTCGAAAAGGAAGTTTTGGAACGTAGTCCTAATATTTTCTCTTATATGCCTATCAGTATGATCGATCTAATTACTAACCTC